TCAGTCAGTCAGTCAGTCAGTCAGTCAGTCAGTCAGTCAGTCAGTCAGTCAGTCAGTCATTCAGTCAGTCAGTCAGTCAGTCAGTCAGTCAGTCAGTCAGTCAGTCAGTCAGTCAATCAATCAATCAATCAATCAATTAATCAACCAACCAACAAACCAACCAACCAACCAATCAGTCAATCATTCAACCAAACCTACAACCGACCTTTTCTAGCAACTTGGTAGCGGTCTGTCTGTGTTGATCGTATTTGTTCAATCTCATCTGTTTGTCTTCTGCTCTATCCAGTTCATCTGGCAGCTGGCTCGTGCAGATGTTTAATTAAAAATATTAAAAAAAATCGTACACAGATCTAAAACATCATAAATGATTATATAAACACACACAAACACAGACACACACACACACCATCCATTCAACATCCCATTTAAACGGGCAACCAATCACAGTAAAACAACCAAAATACCACCAAAATACCACCAACCACAAAAGGGTACATGTCCACTTTCACTTCTTCCTCCAACAAGGGCACCCTGAACTTCCGGCCCGAAACACTGGAACTCCTCATCTCCAACATCTGGAACCTTCTAGAATTTATGACGTCATCCTCTGTGCAGAGGTCGAACTCCTGTTGGATGTGCTCCAGACGAAAGTAGGCGTGGTTTAGTGGGGAGGAGCCAATCGGCTGGTTGGATTTGTAGATTGATTGGCTGGCTAATTAATTAGTTGATCGATTGGTTTATTGATGATAATTGGTTGATTTAATTGCTGGTTAATTGATTGAATTGATTGCGTCATTTTCGCTATATAAACTTCCCACCAACACATGCACTCCGATATATCAAATAAACACAATCTAGTCTCCACAACTCCGATATATCGAACATTCGAAACACCCACACCTTCATATATCGAACGAGGTTCGAATAGGACGGATCGTTGGGATCAATTTCTGATTGGTTGATCCAGGACCTCATCATCGTGACGTCATCGAGACACGGCATCCCCATGGAGCTTATGACGTCACGTGACATCATGGATCTGGAGGGTGGGGGTGCGTTTTTACGGTGTGAAAAAAATAGATTTTAAAGCGAGTCGAAACTTTTGTTCATTCATTCCTAATGTTAATAATAATTTCTGAGGTGCTAAAATTTAAAAAATAAATGTTTTCAATGTAGAATTGAACATCAGTAAATGAAAAGAAAAAAAAATTCAGAAACTTGTCATAGGCCGACTGGTATCTGCTAAGCATCTTCTTATTGTTGGAATTCTCATCATAGGACCAGACGACAGCCCCGGCAAAGATACCAGACGTGTGTAAGTTCAATCCCCGACTGTTCCTAACTCCTTCGATCGTTATGTTCGTGCCTGTGTTGTGTCATGAGGTGAGTTGGTGACACACACACACATACACACAAACACACATGCACACACACACATACACACAAACACACATGCACACACACACACACACACACACACACAGACATACACATACATACATACGCAAAAAACAACAAATAAGAAAAAAAGAAACAAACAAACAAACACACACGCACGCGCACACATACACACAACACTACTACATACAAACAAGACATAAACAAAGAACACGGCAAAACACTTACACAAACAGACAGACAGACAGATAAGCACACACACACAAACCACTTCCGACACCGGCATGATTGTGATTACTATGCAGCAAGTGAGAGCTGAAGTCGTAATTGATGAGTTGTTTGTTGCTCGTCGTGCAGTTGAACTCGGGCAGGATGGAATACACAGTGCTCATCAGTCTGCCATCCATTCCCGACGCCTCGTATATCTGAAAATTTTGTACGTGTGTGTGTGTGCGTGTGTGTTTGTATGTGTGTAATATAATGGTAATAACTAACAATAGAATTGTATTGTAGTAATTAGTAGTCGTAATTAGTAATATCATAATAGTAATCAGTAAAGTTGTGTGTAAGTAATTAGAGTATAATCATGATTGTAATCAGTAAAGTTGAGTGAAAGTGATTAGAGTATAATTATTGTAGTAATCAGTAAAGTTGAGTGAAAGTGATTAGAGTACAATCATTGTAAAGTTAGTAAAGTTGAGTGAGGTGACCTCAAAAGAAATATTTTCAGGCCAGTGCTGCACGTCTGCTGTCAGTATCTGGCAGAATTTTACGCTAAAATCTGGCTCCATGTTCCTTGAAAGTTCCGAAAGATACGAAAGATAATATTTTATTTTATTATAATGTATTATAATAAATAATTTATTTTATTATAAAATATGGTTTCTATATTAATATTTAGTTATATAAAAATTATTGCCCAAAAAAGCAATATAAGTGGATCAATGAATCAATAAAATCGTCAACATTAAACTTGTCAATAACAACTACAACAACAACATCAACTACAACAACACCAAAAATAACGACAACAACAACAGCAACTACAACAACAACATCAACTACAACAACATCAACTACAACAACAACTACAACAGAAATACAACTATAACAACAGCAACAACAACAACAATCAGCAACGTATCGTCGTTACTTAGTTAAAGTTTTGGAGACTTGTTTCTTGTTATAGAGCACCCGCACAAAACAGCGCCACTTACCCACCTGTGAACGCCTTATCTGCTCCGTCCTCATTAATTAAATCAATTAATTGATTAATTGGGATAATTAAATTAATTAATAATTACCTTATCTATCTTATCTCATATATCCTCATTAATTAAATCAATTAATTGATTAATTGAAATAATTAAATTAATTAATAATAACCTTATCTGTCTTATCTCTTATATCCTCATTAATTAAATCAATTAATTGATTAATTGATATAATTTAATTAATTAATAATAACCTTATCTATTTTATCTCTTATATGTCTTATCTAACAAAATCTAATTAATTTAATTGATTAATTACCTGCGTGTGACGTGTGTATGTGTGTGTGTGTGTATGCATACGTGCATGTGTATGTATATGTGTGTATATGAGCATATATATGTGTGTGTATGTGGGTGTGTATGTGTGTATGCGTGTGTGTATGTGTGTGTGTAGTAATTGTAACAACGACAACCAGCACAACACCACAACCGTCATCACACAACAAACTTCGGACACTGGGCAGTCGGAGTTATAGAGAGGTCATTTGTCAGCAGTGGTGTCAGTTCCGGTTCGCCTGGAATTGGAATAATTGAAAAAATTAAATAATTAAAATCATAATAAAATATAATTAATAATAATAAATAAATAATATTGAATAAAAATTGGCTAAATATATGTATAAAAATATATATATATATATGTAAATATATACATATACAACGCGATCACACGTACACAATGACCTGACCTGGTTTTCTTCTAATTAGGTCAAATTTCTCTAGGACCTCTTTCTTCACGTCTTCCTTAGATTTTAACGTCGGTTTAGTTGGTTTGTTGAGTATCGTCTCGATTATTGTTTCGTTATCTTTAACGAGAAGTTCCTATTTAATGGTTGGCTGTAGATGTTTAAGTCTGTCGTTTCTAGGTTACTAAATTTCATTACAAATTTTCTGTCTATAATTTTACTACATTACCGCGATTACTAATGCTACTACTGTTGCTGCTACTACTACTTACTACTACTAGTTGTAGCACTACTACTACTACAGCTGCTGCTACTGCTGCTACTACAACTAACCTCTGAGTCGTCAAAGTCAACCTTTTTTTTCTTCCTTAAGGCAATCCTTTTTTTCGCCTCTTTCTGCAAAATTTTCCAATTCATTCATCTACTGGCGACTAGATTGACCAAATAACTGACCAACAAACAAACAAACGAACCAACTAATCAGTCATCTATCAAAATAGGCAACCATCTACTAAATAACCAANCAACAAATCAATCAACCAACCAATCTCAATCTCTGTTGTTTCCAGTTGGCTAGCATAACTTTGTATCTACCCATCTCTTCATCCCATTNTTCCTTCAGTTCATCCCAAATTTCCGCGACATCCACTTCCACATCCTCTTCCAGCAGGCGCCTATCCTCTTCCAAGTCGGATTCTTTTCTGCGATAATTTTAAGCCAGATGTGAGAGTATCAGTAGCGAATTTTCGTATCCAAAAAGTTTCCCTTAGCAGAATACAAACAAAAAGTGATGAATTACCAACACACACACACACACACCACACACACACACACACACACACACACACACACACACACATACGCACACACCACACACACACACACAAGTATAGAATGTGCTTGCGACCACATCACACGTTTAACTTTGTAATAAAATTTGGATTGCAGTAGCAAGAGAATCTATCTGCTTTCGAACACTGTGACGGCGAAGCAGAATCAGACGTACTAACCACTGATCTATCACTCAATCACCACAACTTTTCAAAATTATTAAAATATAGTTACAGAAAAAAAATAAATAAATATAAACAAACAAAATTAGGTATAATGAAAGTTGAAATTTATAATAGAAGGAGAATTATTCAGATAACAGAAAAAAAGATATTTAAAAGCAAACTTAAGTATGGAAAGTTTGACTCCGGTCGAGATGAAATTCTGAGTTTTTCTGACATGTCGGATATCTTTCCATAACTGGATTATGTTTTTCAACATCACCCTTTCCAGTTTCATCTCGTCGTTTCTTAACTGTCTCAATTGGCTAATGGATGAATGTATGGTGGGTGTATTGATGGATGGATTGATGGATGGATGGATTGTTGGATGAATAATTGAATGAATGAATGGCTCGATAGTTGGATTGATAGATGAATGAACCGATAGATGAATGGATAGATGGATAGTTGAATGGATAGATGGATAGTTGAATGGATAGAAAGATAGTTGAATAGATGTAGAAAGAGATATATAAATAAATGATTGTTATTAATTGATCGATCGATCGATCGATCGATCGATCGATTGATTGATTGATTGATTGATTGATTGATTGATTGATTGATTGATTGATAGTTGTGCTGATAAAATAATGATAAAAAGATACCGATATACCATGATACGGAATGGTTAAAAAGGTAGAGAACGAGAAGATGAGTGATACACGAAGGATACAAAAAAAGATATACTTTAAAAAATAATGCAATATAAACTACATTATCTCAGATGACAATTTGACCACGGCTGTCCTATCATGTTCAGTCTTTTCGTTAAGCTGGAATAATTTTTTTTAAAATATTGTCAAACATGAACGACAATTTTTGACTTGAAAATTTGTATGTGTGGTGTAAATTTTGCAATTTTCACATGACAACCTAAACTTTTATACCCATCGTATATCACAGATAAAATAAATAATGGTGATAACAAAATTTAAAGTGGGGTTAGACTAGCATCTGTGTAAGAACACCTACACAATATTTAAAAATAATTTTTATAATATGTTTCTCAATCAAACGAACGAACGAACAAACGAATGAACAAATGAAAGAACGAACGAATGAATGAAAGAACAAACGAACGAATGATCAAATGAATAAATTTATTTCTCAATATAGGCTAGTTAAATATCTTTTAAACCTGACAAAACAAGGATTGAAATGAAAAAAAAATTTTTTTCTATTAAATTTGAAATTTCGATTTTGAGATTTTTTTTACAAAATCTAAAAAAATATCCATTAAATGTCGAAGAATAGCAAGTTAAAAGATTTTTTTTTTAATTTGAAAAATTGAAAAATTTGAAAAATTACGAGTTACTTACTTCCTTGCGGGCACGTTCATAAGCGCTTCGAACTGATTTCAACTAAATGAATCATGAAAAAAAGATTTTTTTTTCGTTATTACAAAATTTTTTAATAAATTTCAATAAACTTTTTAGTTTTAACTTATATATTAAGGTAATAGACAATTTAATAAGAATATATCAATGTAATTATAACTAATCAACCAGCCAACCAACCAGCCAGCCAACCAACCAGCCACCCAACCAACCAACCAACAAACCAACACACCAACCAACCAATCAACCAACCAGCCAACCAACCAACAAACCAACACACCAACCAACTAACCAACCAGCCAACCAGCCAAACAACCAACCAACCAGCCAACCAACCAATCAGCCAACCAACCAGCCAACCAGCCAACCAACCAACCAACCAACCAACCAGCCAACCAGCCAACCAACAAACCAACCTTATTAACAAGATACGACACAACTTGGTTCTCCATCTTACTCGTATAGACCTTACATTGCTGTCTCAGCAAAGATGCCAGTACATGCTCCTTTCCAAATAGATGGTGGTGGGTGAACGTAATGCTGTTTATATCTATCTCCAGTCTGAAAAAATCATTCAGGCCTATCTGCCTCTCCACTCCTATAACTGGCTGGAAGTGAAATTTAAAGATTAAAGGTTTAAAGGTTAAAGGTTAAAATTCTCTCATAAATACATATGCTGCTTCAGAGGTATCAATCACTTTCAATGACACACACGCACACACGCACACACGTCATAATCCTACAAAAACGCCACAAATCTTCAACCTTTTGATAATTTGTAACGAAACGCGAATCGTATTCCGGCAGAATATCCAGTTTAAAGTAGATATCCCTCGGCCAGTCCGGTTGACCTATCAGTCTGCCATCATCGCCAAACCATTTCAGTAACTGTGGTGAAGATTATTCTAGTTGTACTATCACAATTAGTAGTAGCTGTAGTGGTAGTAGTAGTAGTAGCAGCAGCAGCAGCAACAGTTGCAAAAATATTTGTAGTAGCAGTAGTAGCAGCAGAAACAGCTGCAGGAATATTTGTAGTAGTAGTAGTAGTAGTAGCAGCAATAGTAATAGAAGTAGCAGTAGTAGCAACAGTAGCAGCCGTATTCAGCAGCCGACTGGCGATCTTACCTTCGCTTTCTTTACCGCATCCATGGCTTCTTCTTCACTGGTTCCGCCCAACTTTTCGACGATCAGTCGGTACTCCATTTTGTTGTAACTTGAGGCGGCCACCAGGGGTTTGCGGGCCACGTAGAAGCCCTCCTCGGCCCAATCGTGAATCATGGAAGGGGGCAGAATGACTGATCGAGTGAGTACTGGTGAATGAATTGGTGGGAAATTGTCGAGTTAGCGAATGGATGGATGGATGGATGGATGAATGAATGATTGATTGAATGGATGGATGAATGAATGATTGAATGGATGGATGGATGAATGAATGAATAAATGAATGAATGAATGAATGAATGAATGAATGAATAAATGAATGAATGAATGAATGAATGAATGAATGAATGAATGAATGAATGAATGCACAAATGAATGAATGAATAATTTAAAGAATTAGCATCATTAAACCACCATCCTACCGGGCAATACTGACGGATACATGTAAACTTTACTCCCCATAACGTCAATGTCTCTCTCTTCAACTAGAGATTGTCCGTAAAAGTAAGGGGCCCAGAAGTACCTTTCGTCTGCTAGATGTGTTTATTGTTGTTATTATTATTTATTATTATTATTTATTATTATTTATTAGTATTATTTATTTTTCATTTTTATCTAAATTTTAGGATCGGCTAAATTGTTTGCATCGTCAACATTCTTTTTACATTTCAATGTTTCAAACATTTGAATGCGTGTAATAGAAGTGGAATGATTACCGAATACAATACGATACGATACGATACGATACGATACGATACGATACGATACGATACGATACAATACAATACAATACAATACAATTTATTACAATATAATACGATACGATGCAATACAATACAATGCAATGCAATACAAAACATAGACCTTACCAACAAAATACACAAATAATACACACACAATACAAGAATGGTACCGATACAGTAGACAAATACAAGAATAAACATACAATACAAAAATAATAGACATAGGTAATACATATACAATACACAAATACATCTGCAACGCGGCCTATATACAAACCTGCATCATCGATTTCTGTATCTTTACCCTCCTAACACAAAATTTAAAAAAAAAATTAATAATAAATAATAATAATAATAACAATAATAATAATAACAATAATAATATGATGATGATAATAAGATTAATAATGATGATAATAAGATTAATAATATTAATAATAGTATGATGATGGGATGGTGGATGGTAAACACAATTTACCTCAGGAACTTCACCAGTAATTTTTTCACCACCACCATCGCCACCGGCAGCAACAACATCACCACGTTTGCCGTCAACTTTGCCAGCTTCATCGCCAGTGCCGCTACCACCAGCAGCAGCAGCAGCAGCTTCACCAGCATCTTTACCGTCAAAAATTTTGAAGAAAAAGTTCATCTGTTCTTCATACGGAGTGTCTTTTAACTGGTTGGTGGTAGTTGGCGGATATTTCGTCAGAATTTTCGGGTAAAATATTCATTTTTAATTTAATTCGAATTCATTTACTAGAATTAAAAGAGTGAGAGAGAGAAGTAGAACGAAAGAGTCAAACAGAGGAATAAAAAGAAAGGGAGAGAGAGAGAGATGCCGAGAAAGAAAAAGAGAGAGAGAGAGAGAGAGAGAGGGAAAGAGGGTTATATAGATTTATATATAGTTATGTAGAGTTATTGATTATATATTATTATATTGTGTTATATACGGTAATATAGATTTATATATAGTTATGTAAAGTTATTGATTATATATAGTTATATAGTGTTATATACGGTTAATAAAACTATATAATAATAATAATAAAACTAAGTAATAATAATATAATAATAATTAATAATTAATAAATTTCAAGCCACGAACTTTCCCATCAGCGGTGAAGAACTTCCTGAAATGTTTCAACTGCATCATCTTCTGCATGATCAACCTCTCCATCATCACGTGCTCCCGCGCGTCGAACCGAACGCGGCTGCTAGAGCCACCGCCACCACCAACGTCTGCGCCCTGCGGTGAGTTATTTAAAAAAAAACAGTGCTATAAAAATTGAATGATAGTTGTTGTGGTTTTGGTGTGATGTCAATAATAGTAAAGTGATGATGGTTGTGGTGGTGATTATGATCGTAGTGATGATGGTGGTGGTGATGATGGTGGTGGTGGGGGGGACGATAGTGGCTGCAGTTCTGCTTGCTGCTGATGAAGCTGCTGACGATGATGGCGATGACGACGACGATGATGATGATTACGTCACTAACATCAACAGATTCGTCAACAGAGACTTGCTTCATACTTTTGTACACGTCATCTTTGGCTTTGTCCTGAGTCACGTGGATGAATGAGTGAATGAATGAGTGAATGAATGAGTGAATAAATGAGTGAATAAATAAATTAATGAATGAATGAAAAAAGTAACAGAAAATGAAAACAGACAAAACACAGAACTCTTTTAAAACACTAATTCAACACAGTGATACAACGTAGCCACAAACAAAACTCTCACGTACACACACAAACACACACACACAAACACACACACACACACAAACACACACACACACACATACAAACGCACACACATACAAGCACACATACGCATTCCTACCTTAGCAGTTTTCAGTGTCTCCAATAATCTATTCCGAACTGATAAGCTGATCGCTGGTTTCTTGGTCGAAACTTTTTAATTATTAATAAAAATGAAAATAACAATAATAATAATAATTATTATTATTATTATAAAAATAATAACAATAATAATAACAACATAAATAATGATAATAATAATAACATAAAACCTGTAGTAGATGCCTCTTGCCTAACCAGAGTTCTTGGTGACATTACTGATGATGACAATCCATCCTTACCAACACTATCACCATCTCTCTTATCATCGCCACCATCACCAACCCATGCAGCGTTATCAGCACCATCCTCATCACCTTTACTGGCTTGTCTCTTATTTTTTTCTAAGTTTACTTTCAGTTGTCTTTGGGCATCTTCGATTTCATCCAGTTCACTAACTTCTTCTAAAGTCTTTGTGGTTTTTCGAAGCTGGAAGAAAGATATAATATTTTTTTCGTTTTTTATGTCTGTGTTGTATTTGTGTGTGTGTGTGTGTGCCTTTGTGCGTATGTGTGTGTGTACGTGTATGTGTGAGTGTGTTTGTTTGAGTGTGTGTGCCTGTGTGTATGAATGTTGTAAAGGACAACAGTCATACACACAGGAATAGTTTCTTCCTACTAAATTACTATTTTATAACACCTTCAGCATTGATTTGTTGTTGTTTTTTTAGAAATTTGTCCAAATTCTTATTTTTAAAAAATTATAAATAATTAAATGGATTAATTTGAAATGAAAATTTAAGCATTAGTACTGAAATTAACCTTGTTTTGAACCTGGGTTCTTTGCCTCTTCAAGTTCAAAAGCAACTTTTCTGAAATTTGTTCATTGCTTGTTGTTGGCTGGTTAGTGCAAAACATTAATCATAAATAAATTATTTTTATTCATTAATATTATTTAGTTAATATGAATAATTAATTTGAAAAAGTTTGAAAATAATTAAAATATTCTGTTTGTGATATTACTTTAAAAAAGTTTTTAAATAATTTCTTGGCTAAATTCAAGATTCAGGCTAAATTAAATAAAGGACCAGGATAAAGCAATAAGGTGTAGTACATAAACCAGACATACTGACTAAAAAATGTATTTCTAATACATTATATAACATATAATAAATATCACTAATACGGTATTTGTGTTAATTATTTTACTATAGGCTCGTCTTATTTAAAAATATTCTTAAACAAGTAAAATAGTACACTGTATAAAATAAAATAAATGATATGAAAAGGTAACATCTAATTTTCTAATCCTAATGTCTCTACTAAGTCTAATCTAATGAATCAAATGTCTCTAATCTAATCTAACAGTTTTAAACTAAATTGCGACAAAATTGGTGGTCATAAATTAAAAACTAACGTAAAACTTATAAAATTTTATATAAACCAATTTCTCAGGGAAAATATCAAATAAGGCCATAAGTAGTTTAAGAAAGATATTTTAAAAATTAAATTTTTAAATTTACAAACTAATTCTAGTACAACTCACCTCCATCATTTGAAATTTTTTTATTAATTTATTTTATTTTTTTTATTTTTCAAATTATTTTAAAACTATTTAAAAAATATTTTATTGATTATTCATTCATTTGATTGAATTTTTTGCCATGTTTGTGTGCGAGCGCTGCATGGCAACCAGTTAACTTTTAAACGTTGCAAGGGACTCAGCAAAGAAAATTTAAAAAATTTAAATTTGGACAGGGTAGGCACCATATAATTAGAATAAAATATTGACGAAATCGCTTCCAGATTCATGCCTAATAGTATAATAAAATTCCTATTCAATGGAATATTCGTTCTCAGTCAAGGAAGTAGATTAAAGATGTTATATAGGTAGCAAGCAGTTAGTTAGTGTTAGTTACCGTTTGTTTCCTGTTTAATTTTTCCAATTTTTGAAATGTAGGTCGTAAATCATTGTCAAGTTTCTTGAATTCAAAACTGAAATTGTTATTTATTTTAAACATGGCAGAACATTTAAGCATGGTAGAACAAAGAAGCTTTTTTCGGTATTCCTATACCATATTCGGGTTCTGAATGCTCAAGTATGCATATCCCGAGTCTCCACAATATTAATTTTTTGTTTGCTTAATGTGAATACTTAGCGGTCATTTAATTAGTTATTACGATCCTCAACTTTTAGAACATTTACACTTTTAGAACATTCACACGAATCCACTCCTTACGCTACGTCTCTTCTATCCTTTCATGATTTGAGTTATACCAATTAATGATACTAATAAAATAAAGCTCAGGAATTACTACAATTGTAAGACAAAATTGGTCTTGAAGAACAACTGCACTCCTAAAGACAATCCTACCTCGAAGCGTAATCATAAAATATATGAATTTAAATGCCCTATTAACGACTGTGCGCGTCAACGGCATTCGTATGTTAGAGCAACGACCACTCCACTATCAAGACGTCTTACAAATCTAGTAAGAAAGTTGAAAAGACAAACTACAAACTGGTTAATGCCAACAATTCGGTAGAACTCATACAATACAGTCCGTTAAAAATCTTTTTCTTACAAAAACTGTTAAACACATCAAAAAAAATTAATTTTGTAAACAAATGCATCCGAAAAAATGTTACACTTGCAATCACATTCACACACACACACACAAAACACAAATAAATATACATACACACGTGCATTAATACATACATACATACATACACAAACAGTAATAAAAACATATAAACTAAATAATAATGCTATTATTATTCTTATTAAGCAGACGAATGTAGCTAGAGGCGTTCAGATGAGAGTCTTCATGTTCCAGTAACAGTTTACCGCTTTTAAGTGTCCTGCCACAAAATCTACACGTCCATGGCGGGGCTAAGAGCGCCTGTTCAAACGCAAAGCTGGTCTCACTGACGACGATAGTAATACTTAAATTATTATTATTACTACTACTTTTATTATTATCATTATTATTACAGGAGTTGTTAATTGTAGTCAAGCCGTTTGCATTACTAATATAGTCGACATCGTTGTTGTCAGTAATATTACAATTGTTATTGTTGTCATTTGTCATATTATTATTGTTGTTGTTATTATTATTTCTATTATTATTAATATTAGATTCGTCATAAGACATATCTCTCTCATCTAAACTTGATTCAACATTATTTGTAGTAGTAGCAGTAGTAGTAGCAGCAGCAGCAGTAGTAGTAGCAGAAGTAGTAGTAGCAGCAGCAGCAGCAGTATTAGTAGTATCAAATGTGTTAGAAGTAGTAGAAGCATTAGTATCAGCAGTTGTAGTATATGTAGTGACTGTAGTAGTAATAGTATCGCCTTTATTAGAGTCATCTTCATTACAACTGCTAGTATTATTATTATTAGTAGTAGTAGTAGTAGCAGTAGTAGTGGTAGTAGTATTTATATTATTATTATTATTTTTATTGTTATTATTATTATTACCATCGTAATCAATAATTGTAACGTTCTTAGTCGTATCGTCCGGAGCAGTATCTTCATCAATAATTTTCACGTCATTACAATCAGCAGTTTCACAGTCATCCCCCTCACCGTCATTACGGTTGTTGTCGTTTTCGGTGACGTCATTACTATCAACCATTCGGCCGTCGTCGTCGTCGTTGTCCTCGCCATCATCGTCGATACATATCACGAAATCCGTGTCGTCGGAATTCATGCTGGGATCGCTTTGGGATTTTCCGAGTTCTGGATCGGTACTTTTGCAATTTGAGGATGATTTTGTGAAATCCGCTGTGCCATTGTTTAAGATGCTTAGGGAGTTTATTGGGTTAAATGTTGCACATACAGTCGAACTGCTGCTACTTTCGCTTACGAATATTACATAATTTTCATCCTTATCATCAGGCTTATCAGACACGTTTCTAGAACTTTCATCCAAATGATCAGAGATCCCCGTCAGACTTGATGCCTGCACGTCTGTCCCTTCCTTGTATACTTCCATTTTAATCACATCACCAACCGTTTTGCCAGAAGTAACCGCAGCAGCGACAGGAAAACAAACATCTTCATTCATGCTCTCTTCCTCATCCAGTTCCACAATTTCTTGCTTAATGTTCAGACTACCCAGCGTCTCATCAGCTGGTTTTTCCAGCAAGTTCTCCAGCTCGTTCAGACCCAAACTTCTGTAGATATCTTCGAGAAAGGCTTGATTGGCGTCGGGAGATGTTTTGAACTCTCCATTAAGAACATTGCCGGGAAGGTTGAAGTGAATCTCGATGTGTAGTTTCAAATCACTCAGGTCGTCACTACTGTAAGTGCAGAACGCACAGTCGATCTTGTGCTGGAGCGTATGATGTCTGAGGTGTGATGCCAGGTGATATCTCTCGGTCGAGATGAATGGACAGTGGATGCAGTTGAAAAACGGAGGTGGGATGAGGACGAACTCATCGGAGCATTCATACATCTTTACGTATAACTCGTTGTTACTGACACAGTCAGCATCCTCTTCGCTGTTCAAGTTCTGCAGTGTGATGCTAGACTGGGTGAATAATAGACTTTCATTAGGAAATTCGTGCAGTCTGCCATGCTGCACCAAGTAGGCCATGCTAGAGGCAGTGTATGTGCAATGCAAGCAGGCATACGTGCGCTTGTAAATGTGCATGGAGATGTGGCGCCTCAAGATTTCGTAGGAGGTGCAGACGAACGGGCATCGGTCACACCTCCACTTCTTGATGTCCACGTCCAACAGGTCACTTGGCTGTTCGGGCTCCACCATCATAGGCGCTGTAATGGATGAGTTTAATGTTACTTTTCGACGAAAAGACATTTAAATTAAATTATGTACGCGACAAAATTTTCTAATTAAGCAAAATAAATCAAAATCAGAATTTACGATAGACTATGAATAGTTTTAATATTTTGCTTTCAGTTTAAGTCATCTGTATTACATTCATAAAAAATATTTAGATTCAATCTAAGTTCAACAAATTTAGTGTTAAACGCATGAATATTAATACCCAGAGGACATTAAATACATTAACTCTGACCTGAAACATAAGCCACAACATTCTGAGCAACCCATGATTCAGTGAAGGATTGGGGCAGGAAGTTTGTGGGGATCTGTTTGTTGTTGGAAACCAGTCTGTGCTTCAGTTTGAGGCCCTCCATGTACTCTTCCAACTCCTCCCGAAGATTCTTCTCCGCCACTGAATCTCTTCTTTGGTAGGAATCCTGCTGCGACTGAGCCACCTGTGGCTGTGGTAGCTGCTGTTCATGCTTCAACATCTGATTCAAACTGTTGGTAGTCTTTTCACCGAGGCTGAAGTTGCTGATACTGTTGCCTAACTTGGGAACATTAGTGTAATGCTTGTTTATGTATTCCTCTGTGTGTACTTTCATGTGTATGTTCAGCCAGCCAACACACTGTGACCCGTACGTACAGAGGTGACATTTAAATTTTGCCCTTTCATTCATGTGCAAGTTCATATGGATCATTAATGTTTTAGATTCTTTACAGTGATAAGGGCAGTATTTACATTTCAATCCATTTTTAACTCTTAGTTCTGTGTTCTCAATTTTAACTGGAGACGAGTACGTTACTGGCAGTTGTTCGGGTTTCTTACTGGGAGACTTGTGTGTCAATTCATGCCTCTTTAGAATTTTCAAGTTGAAAACACCGAACGGGCAGTACTTGCATTTGTATTTGGGCTGGAAGTGAAGCCTCCTATGGTTTAGAAAAATGGACATGCCGATGAAAGTTTTGTAACAGATGGAACACTTGTAGACCTTGTTGCTCAGGTAGTTGTGCTTCACTGGCTTCTGTTTGTTCTTCACTGAGAGGACGTCGGATTCGTCGAGTTCCATTTCACTCTCCGGCGATGATGGATTGTCATCAAAAACCTCGGAAGAGGTTCTGGTGGGTCTCTTATTTGGAGAGATGGCAGTTTCAACAAATGGCAGCCACTTTTCAATGATCTGAGCGTTCTTGCAGACATAATTGATGTGCTGCTTTTGACTGAAATAGGACGTCGAAGTGAAGCTGCAGCTGGAGCACGAGTAATATTTTGTATTTCTGACCTGACTGTCTGTCTCACTTTCTAGCTCGGCTGCTTGCGAAATACATTTCTCCAACTCAGAGCAGGCCTCAATGTCATCTTGCGCGTGGTGCTGATTCAGTATCAAATGTCCTTTCAAGACTTCCCGATGTTGGGTTTTGAACTCACAGTATGTACATTTGTAGAACAAAACTCTGGGAGAATTTGTGCTTTCAAAACTTTTTGAAGATGGTGCTGGTGTTCTGACTGGAATTTCATCAATTTTAAAGTTTTTAATCATATTAGAGGCAGCAGAATCAACTTTGAAATGTTTAAATTTTGACATGTGAACTTTCAGTTGCGTTTCTGTGTTGAAAGAGAAAGAGCATGTGACACACTTGAACCTATTTTTATGATTTGAGATGTAGTAGTTGTGTTTCAGTCTCAGATGCTTCAAGAACATCCTCCTATCAAGGAATGGTCGGATCTCACAGTATGGACATTCCCATGTAACAGCTGCCTGGCTAGAATTACTTTTATTGAAACTGTCTTCTGAACTTGAGTTATTAAAACTTTTGATACTTTCATCTAAATTTGATGAATCCAGGTGTTTCTTTTGATGTCGGAAGACTAATGTCTCGCTAAATGCTGCAAACGAGCAGTGCTCACATTTGAACGGTGCATCAGCTCCGTGGTACCTCATGTGAAACTTCAAACTTTTCTTGCTGTTCGCCTTGAAAGGACAGACAGGGCAGGAAACGAAAAAAGTCTCATCACCTAATACAAAAGATTTTGACTCATTTAACTTTTTCAAATGAACTGACAACAGGTGGAATGGATGATTCATGAATAAATGCATTAAAGTATCCTCCAATATGTCAGTGGTGTACTTGCAAAGTTTGCAAATAAACTGCTGCAAACTTCTTCCAGGTGATTGATCAACAATTAAAACAAAACACTTGGGAGAATGAGTAGTCTGCAAGTGATCAAAACAGTTCTCCTCTTTAATGGTGGCCCACAGACAAAATTTACAAGTCAAAATAGTTTTCTGAGTTGAACTGTATTTAAAAAAGACTGATTTCACAAATTTAATGACTCTGGAATCAGTGCTAGGTGTATTTGGGGTATAAACTTTAGCAAACTCTTCAATGATACTCGTGAGGACGCTTCTTTTGACAAAATGATTCTTGCAGTGCGTGTTTCTTTTGTACTTATTAGGGGAGATGTAATCGCAGAAGCTGCATGGATGAACTTTCAAATTGTGGACGATGACTTTGTGGAAAGTTAGTTCCCGGTACATCTCAGCCTTGTACTGGCAGATGTCGCAAAAAAAATTACCTTTTTTAAGAATTCGATTCATCTTTTTGTTTTGAATGATTAATTATTTGATTGGATATCTAAAGATTGGTCCTAATTTTATTTCAAGAAATTATAATATTATGCAAAAAAAGAGACGACGATAAGCTCAAAAAGTGAAATTCTAAACAATGAAACGAAATTCCATAGAACAATAAGTCCAGAACAACAACCTCTCATCATACAATCACTCGTCGCCAGTAGTTTGAAATAATTTGCCAGAGAGAGCTCATAAAATGCCCTCCATATTATGCAATTGCAATGCAATACTGGAATCATGTAAAATATTTGATTATATTTCAGTCAGGAAACCAGGGCTTCGAACCGTAATTTTTTTCGTTCCGGTTTTCGGTTTCGGTTCGACTAACAAAATATATTTCGGTTCAGTTCCGGTTTTCGTTCCAGATAAAATTTCGGTTCGGTTCCGGTTATCGGTTCAGTTCCGGGAAACGTTTTTGCCCATCAAAGTTATTAAATTTTGTAAATGGTCATCACAATCCTACTGGCGCAAATTTGTAAAGCAAAGTAAAGAACACTTATAAAATGATGTAAAATTATTGATAAGAAGCCAAATTAATTTTCAATTTTAATAAAAAATTTTAAATTAAAAATTCCGTAACAAATAATTCTGAATGCAATAATCACGAAACTTAGCGAAAAAAAATTAATTATCTTCCAGACAAGAAATAAAAATTGAATTTCTTTGACATTACGTGGTGGAGCGCGCTAATAAATTTGCGGGCAAATATATTTAATTAATTATATTTAATTGCGTTTTTGTAAATGTTGCCAGTATTGCGTGTATCGGATATTCTAGTTATTGACATATCATTGTTAATTAAATTTCAACTCATTAAGAAACTATTAGTCATGAATTTTTTAAGTTTCTAAATATACAAAAAAATGTGTTCAAATATTTTTTAGCCAGCAAATGGAAACAAAGTATAAAAATGCATAACATTTCTCAGAAAACAAAAGTATAACGGCTTCGAACCGGAACGTTATTTTTTTCGTTCCGGTTTTCGGTTTCGGTTCAGCAAGCAAAAAATATTTCGGTTCAGTTCCGAGTTTCGTTCCGGTTTTCGGTTTCGGTTCGGCAAGCAAAAAATATTTCGGTTCAGTTCCGAGTTTCGTTCCGGCTAAAATATCGGTTTATTCCGGTTTTCGGTTTTGGTTCTGTTCCGGTTCGAAGCCCTGCAGGAAACTACATGCCATTCATCCTTGTAGAGGTTTTACAATCAATCAATCAATCAATCAATCAATCAATCAATCAATCAATCAATCAATCAATCAATCAATCAATCAATCATTTTCGAGTGGACTTTTATAGTTGAAACCATATATAGCTTGAATTTGTAACTGCCTGCTAACAAACTACAAATTAAATTAGAATAAGCTGTCCTTTTTTAAGAAATGAATAAAACGTTTTAAACAATTTTTTTCCAGCTTTCGTAATACCAACATGGAAGCCCAATAGAGAGAAAACGCCAAAAAAACAAACATATATAGGCTATGTATATGATGATACTTTAACAAGTAAAACATTCAACAAAAATTTTCAGTAAACACGGGAGAATTGACAAATCGGATATATATATGTGTGTGTGTTGTGTTTATATGTGGGTATTTATGTGAGTGTGTGCGTTTGTGGGAATGTGTGTGTGTGTTGAGTGTGTGTGCGTGATAAACTTTTGAATGAAAAAACATAACAGCACAACAAAAATCGTTAAATAATGGACGATACAATGATTTATTATTATTATTATTTCTTGATTATGATACACAATGAGGCTCATGAATATTCAAATTATTTATTCTTATTAAACAAACTAAAGGACTGAAAAATACGAATAAATTAACATAACTAATTGATTAACATGTCGACGAATTAACATAATTAATGGATTAATATACTAACAAATTAATGTATTAATATAACAGTTATACAAAACGCGATGCAAAAAACCGTACCGGCTAAAAAACAAAAAAAAACAACTAAATAAATGAATATAAAAACGATAATATAAACATCGAGAGGTTTTGAATAGACGGACGATAAGCAAAATCAAAATAGTAAAATTTTAGAACAAAAATTGAACTATAGCACTTCAGCTCAAAGTTTACTTGCGTCATTGTATGATCCAATCACACGCAATCCATAATCAATATTCATCTGTCAGTTATAGATGTGGAAAATATAATGAATGAATTAATGAATAAACGAATGAATGTATGAATTAATGAATGAATTAATCAAACTATGAATAAATGAATGGATGAATCAATCAATCAATCAATCAATGGATGAATGAATGAATGTGCGACTCTTGCTCCCAGCAAAGTTTATAGCAAAAAAGAACAGAAACAATCTCAGTCTGCTGAAACAACGAACCATGAAAAACGAACGAAACAAAATCAGAAAGCAATCAACAACTCATTTGCTACTAATCAGCAGAGATATGCAAATTAATTTTTTTATCTATGCTAATTAACTTTTATATCTATGCTAATTAATTTTTATATCTATGCTAATTAACTTTTATATCTATGCTAATTAACTTTTATATCTATGCTAATTAATTTTTATATCTATGCTAATTAACTTTTATATCTTTGCTAATTAACTTTTATATTTATGCTAATTGACTTTTATATCTATGCTAATTACTTTGAATGAATAAATAAATTGAAAGTTAATTAGCATAGATATAAAAATTAATTAGCCCAGATAATCAAATAACACATAAAATCACTAAAAAAAGACATTGGCAAGTGTCTGGTATTCCCCAGTCAATAGAGAGCTTATTAAGAAATTCATTCGAACGTACGTACATATATGCTACAATTTATTGACAAAAACCGATCAGTTTAAAAGTGTGTGTGTGTGTGTGTGTGTATGTAAATGGATGAATGAACGTATGAATGAGTGAATGAATGAATGAGTGAATGAATGAATGAATGAATGAATGAGTGAATGAATGAATGATAGAATGAATGAAAAAATGATATTGCTTCTAAAGATATGCAAATGAAAAATATTAAAAACATTTAAAAAAGTCTCATCATTTCGTAAATGAACGAATGAATGAATAAACAAATGATTGAATGAATGAATGACAAAATGGATGGATCGATCAATCAATCATCAATCAATCAAAAAATAATTAAATGAAAGAGCAAATGAACGAACGAACGAATAAAAGAATGTACTTCTAGAGATGTACTACTATCCATATTGTCATTATATTTCGTCTACGCATTAAAACGAAAAAAAAAAAAAAATTTCTATAAAAAATATAGTTGCTTCTCTCAGCCTCCCTCTCTCTCCCTCTCCCTCCCTCCTTCTCTCTCCCTCTCTCTCCTTCTATCTCTCTTTCTCTCTCTCCTTCTATTCCATTTGAAATGAAATGCTTTTTTATTGGAAGAATTGCGTATCTCGTTTTTAAATATAGTAAAAGGTTAATTTAAGGAAAATTAAATAAAAATAAACTAAAATAATGAAAAAATCCTTCAAAAAAATTTAGTTGCATTGAAATGAACACATAAAATCTTTCAGGAAACAAATTAAAACTCAAATATGCCAAAATTTGAAAATTCAGTTCAATTAAACTCAATCACACATATGCACATATACATAGACATTTAAACATATGAATACATGTGCATAGGTTCAGACATATACAAACAGACGCACATACACACACACGCACACACACATGCACCCATTATGCACATACAATCACATACATTAACTCGTAAGAGGCCTGAAACATTCAAAAATCTCATAACAAAATAATATAAACACGGGAAAGATTGCACTATCAACCATAGAGCAACACATTACTAAGAGGTATATATCTACTATAACGTAAACATACAATACAAAAATCTCACACATAACTTGACACACATAAATCAACCTATCGTATCGTGTGCTTCTCCAATGTGACGATGATAAGCAAGTACAAAAACGAACCTTGGAACTTTAAAGACATGGGGTTGCATGGAATTTTATTAGTATTAAATACTAGGCTGCTAATGTAAAATAATGGTACACGTATATATTTACACACGCACACGCGCACACACGCACGCACACAAATTCAGGCAGACACACACGCACACACATACACACATCGATAATTATGCAAACACACATAAACACACATCTATGAATATTTATATACATTTCATCAAATCAAAAAACTTTAAAAGATAATTATTCACAATAATACATATAAATATATATGTATATGTATATATAATCAACATAACATCGTCACTGAATGGGATGGTGAAAATATAATGATGATGATATGGATGAACCAAAACAATGGAAAATAAGAAAATAGATAGATATACAGATATAGATGGATCATATATCCATCTGTATCTATACTGATACATTGATTGACTGATCTATATAGAAGAATGGAAATGAATGAATAGATAGATAGACAGATAAATGGATAGATAGATGGATGGATGGATGGATGAATGAATGAATGGATAATTAGATAAATATATGTATCTAGATATAGATGGATGGATAAATAGATAGTTATATTGATGGATAGATAGATATATAGATATGTGACATGTTATTGCTAAAGAAAGCAACCTTTTATTTATCACAGATATATCCGTTGTTACTATAATTTATTATTGTTATTATTATCATCATCAATATTACTTTTATTCTCTCTCTCTCTTTCTCTTTCTATCTCTCTCTTTCTTTCTCTCTCTTTCTATCTCTCTCTTTTTTTCTCTCTCTCTCTTTTCTCTCTCTTTCTTTCTCTCACTCTCTATTAGTTTCTTTTCTTGGAACATACTAGTAAAAACTTAAACATAAATCTCGATATGAAAATATAAAAGTTTAAAAAAAATGAAAATGGACGAATGAATGAACTGGTTTTTCAACATTCAGTTCATCTGAAACCAACTCCCAACCCTTCCTTCAACATCTACATCCAGAGCTTTACAGATCCGTACAGATTGTGTTGTTTTTGGTGTCCGGTTTGGAGTTTTCTGTCATATATACATACTTACAATACTATTGGTAAATCTTACATACATACTTACATACGTATTATACAGAAGTAATAATATAATTTGAATAAAATAAATAAATGATATCAATAAAAATTCATTTTTTTGCAGAAGAATTGATACATAAATAAATAATTAAACAAGAAGAAAATATATCAGTGTGTGTGTGTTTGTTTGTTTGTGTGCGTGTGTTTGTGTGTGTGTGCGTGTCTGTGTTCGTGTGTGTGTGTGTAAATAGTAAATATTAAGTCTGTTGTTGAAAAATACTACTAAATGATGGCAGCCAACACTGAAATGAGTAACGTCACATAACATTATTATCGTAAGTAATAATATATTCTTTTTCTTTAAGTCTCAAATTTTCAGATGTATCAAACAAACAAACAAACAAAACAAAACAAACAAACAAACAAAAAAATGTTATGTTATGTTATCTTAAGTTATGCATGCAAACATGAATAATTGGATAAAGCAATAATGATTGATTGAGGATTTATTGATTTAATTAAGAGAATAAGTTTGTTTGAGTTTGATCGTTTAAGTTTGATCGAATAAACGAACGAATGAGTGAATTCAGGTATGATTGAATGAGTGGTTGAATGCATGAATGAATGAATGAATGAATGAATGAATAAATGAATGAATGAATGAATGAACGAACGAAATGATGAATTAATGAATTTGCAGTTCAATTACATCAACATTAAACGAATGTTATATACAAATAAAAATCAAATTTACATCTTCTGAGTAACCAGGAATGAAGCAATGTCTTTTTCATTCTTATGTAACAACTATCGTTCGCCTATCTTCTGCTTCATTCATTCATTCATTCATTCATTCATTCATTCATTCATTCATTCATTCATTCATTCATTCATTCATTCATTCATTCATTCATTCATCCATCCATTCATTCGCCCCTCAGCCAACTAGCCTATTGAAGCAGGCCACGCAATAGTACTTACCCTCTCTGATCTTGAAGCCGCCCAAACTCAACCTCACCCTACAAAACGAGCAGACGAAATGATCGGGGTGAAACTTTTTGCAGCCGACGGCAACGAACGCACCGAAGATGGCTTCGTGGCAAGTGTGGCAGCGACATAAGCGACGTTTGTGGTAGTGCTCGAAGCAGTAGGGCTGTCCGTCGTGTTCGTACACACTCTCCGCCGAAATCGGTCGCTTGCAGTCCTGTTTTGTATAAGTGTGTGTGTGTGTGTGTGTGTATGTGTGTGTGTGTGCGTGAGTGAGTCAATGTGTGAATGAATGAGTGAATGAATATACAAGATAAACAAAAGAAGAGTGAGTGCGCTAATGAATGCGTGAATAAATGAATTGTGGAAAAAATGAATGAATGAATGAATGAATGAATGAATGAATGAATGAATGAATGAATAAATGAATGAATGAATGAATGAATAAATGAATGAATGAATGAATGAATAAATGAATGAATGAATGATTAAGTGACTGAATGAATAAAAGTGTGAATATACATAAACGTTTTAACGCAACATGACGAGGAAATGCTATGGAGAACAGGAAGAACGAACCAAGCAAACAAAGCAATGGATGTGCCACTGTTTGTTCATGGCGGACAGGAAGTTGTCCATGATTGGCTGCTGGCAGGTGAAACACCTCGGCGCTATCTTGTTCTGGTAGTCTGTTCTGTTGTTGGTGTGGCGTGGCGTGGCGTGGCGAGGTGTGGCGTGGTGTGGCGTGGTGATGATGGAAACGTAGTTGTTGCAAACGAATGAAACACCGGTGAATAAATCGTCGATAAAACACAAAGCAAACAGACAAACAAACCCAACAGCAATAACAAACAACACCGTCCAACCTGCAGTAGATGTTGTTGTTGAACTCATGAAAGCCCTCCTCATCAACCAGCATCTTCTGGCAGAGGTCGCAAGTGAAGTGGTCCAGGTGCCACGTCTTGTCCAGGGCCATCACACACATCTTCGTTGACACAGAAATAAGATGAATAGTTTAATCAATTGGTCAATCAATCGTTCAGTCGATCAATCAAACAACCAACCAACCAGCCAACCGACCTACCTACCAACCATCCAGCCAACCGACCAAATCAACCATCAGCCAACTTCACTAACATCAAAAATAGGCAGAAGACACTTATTGCACTTTGGCGAAAACACGGAATGGTAATCTTTCTCACAGTAAATCTTCCCAGATTTCTCAAAGAAAATGTTCTGCTCGATGGTCTCCCGACAACAGCAGCATACAAAATGCTCCAGATGCCATGACCGGTTCAAAGCCGTTAGGGCCTGATTAGTGAATGAATGGATCGGCAGATAAATGAATGAGACGAATGAATGAAAGAGATGATGAATAGATCAGATGATGAATGAATGAGTGAATGAATATAAATGAATGAATGAATGAATGAATGAATTAATGAGGAGATGATGTGTCGTGCGGTGTGCATGTACCTCATGTTATGTAATGTGCATATATGTTGTGTTATGTGCGTGCGTGCGTGTGTGTGCGAGTGTGTATATATGTGTATGTGTGTGTTTGTGTAATAAATAAATGAATAAAACCCCAACCAAACAGAAACAGCAACCCACAAACCTTTCCAATAATATTCCCTCCGCAGGCAGCACATCTCTTTATCTGGCCCCCAGTCACATCCCTACTCTTCTCCAGCTGGACATTATCCAAAGAAGTGGACATCCGCTGCGGGGTGGCTAGATTCAACGTGCTACATGACAGCAATCGGGAAGCTGTCGCCTTGGTAACCGAGAGATAGGTGTCTGGATCAGCTGACTGTTTGCAACAATTTTGGCGGGAAAATTTATAAAAAAAAAAAGTCATCCAAATAAACCCAAATTACTTATCGAATTGAAATATATTAAAGTTTTATTTACTATTAATGAAAAATGATATTTGAATGAGGATGGCATAGGAAACAAAAATGTAATACATAGAAACAAAAATGTGGTACTTATATGCTACGTTACATGCAGAATGTACTTACAAAATACGGCATTTATGCAAGGTGCACAGTAAAACTTGTAATGGATACAGTTTACAATAAAAAATATGCTGGTAACAAGCCTTGTTTAGTCCATTTTTTTCAGTCATTTTGTTATTTCTGGGCCTGTGGTTCAATTTAATGTCATTATCGGTAGTAGTAGCAGTAGTAGTAGAAGTGGTGGTAGTAGTAGTAGTAGAAGCGGTAATAGTAGCAGCAGTAGCAGCAGGAGTAGTTGTATAATCATGACTTTTGTTAGTATTTGTTCTATTTTCTCCATTATAACTGTAATTATTGGTGTGTGTGTATTTGCTGTTGTGAGCTCTATCATTATAACTGACTAGGATATTTTTATTATTATTGATATTATCACTTGTTGTTTTGTTGCTGTTATTATTTCTATTGTTAGAAGTAGTAGTAGTGACAATAGTAGCAGTAGTAGTAGTAGTAGTAGTAGTAGTAGTAGTAGTAGTAGTGGTAGAAGAAGCAGGGGCAGTGGTTTTAGTAGAAGTGGTGTCGTTGAAGTTATTTGTGTTGTTGTTGGCACCCATCTTCATCAATGACATCATCAACTGATCTAGTTCTTTGGCTGCATGTGATTGTGACTGTCGAGTCGTTGTTGTTGTGGTGGTTGATGTCGTTGTTGTAGTTGTGGTGGTTGAAATGTTGTAGTTGTTGATGATGTGATTGTTAGTACAATTGTTGCTATAGTAATTATTGATGTTTTTGGAGGCATTGCCAATTTTGCTGCTTTTAATTTTGTAGTTGTTGTGGATAATTTTGCTATTGTAGTAGTTGCTGTCGTCGTGGTTGTTGTTGTGGTTGCTGTCGTTGCTGTTGTTGCTGCTACTACAACTGTAGCTGTTGCTGTTACAGCTGCTGTAATACTTCCTGTTGGAGTTGCTGCTGCTGTTGTTGTCACAATCGTCTTCTCTAGTGAAAGTCATCCCACCCAATTCATGCATAAGAAAGTCAAGTTGGAAGAGATTGGAGTGAAGCTCCAGAGATGATGACTCATCTGAACTTAGGGAGCCACCTTTTAACTGGAAAATGAGGTCATAGGTCATTTAAAATTACTTACTAATCACCCACACCAGTCCACAAATTTGATGTGAAATGGTTGGTTTCATCTCATTTAAGATGCCTATTTAAAGTTTACATATGAATAAGTAGGTATGTACGTGTAAATATATAAAAACATTTTTCATTTTTTGATAAACATTGCTAACTAACTGTGTATGTATATAAAATGTGTTTTTTATTGTAACAGAATGTTACATAAAATGTATTTGAAATATTTACCCAAATATATTACACAATTTTGTAAAAGTGTATGTTTGTTTATATGTACGCAGAGCTGAATTTGGAGCAGGAGTTAGGAAACTAAAAGTGCAATTGCCCTAGGATCTCCAGAAAAAACAGACTCCAATAAGTTAAAAGATAATACAATTTTGTAACTGTAAAACACAGTTAAAACACTGATTTCAAAGAGAATGTTGCCAATTTTTTTAAAACCCAATCTTATTATTATGGTGAAAATTAAAAATAATTGAAAAAATTAGAGTTCCCCAAAAAATAATTATAGGCCTTCCATTCATCATTACTCTAGGGACAACATTCCTAAAAATCTGACTTGGTATATGTGTGTGTATGTGTACGTGTACATATACATGATTGTATTGACACCTGATGGTTGAAATTTTTCTGGAAAGCACTCCTAATCTGTTTTGAGATGTCATCCAATTCATCTAACTCTTCTAATGTCTCTGAACTCTGATCAGCTGAGCTCAGGGCCAGCATTGACATTAAGGCATCTGATGTAGTTTATGTAACAATACAATAAAATGTGGTTAAAATTATTTATTTTTTTTTTATTTTTAATTTTTATGTTGATATTATTTTTAAATGCGTTATTCCAAAATTATTTTAATTTTAATGTTGATATTATTTGAAATGTATTATTCTAAAATTGAAAAAATACAAATCTTTATGGCTGCATTTTTTGTTTCATTTTTTATTATGCAAGACATTAACTTTTACACTAACTATTTAACTATTTATTAATATTTAATTTTATTAATTTATTTAATCATTAATTAAGAATCTTAGATCTTTTATTTTAATCATACATTACATAGGATCAAAAAGTCATTAACTGCATAAATACAAAATTATATAAAATATAAACTATAATATATACTATAAACTATATACTATACTCTGCAAAAGAATAATTAATTCATTTAATTAATTTTTAAATTTAAATTTTAATATTAAAAAAAATTAAAAAACAAACAAATTAAAACCAATAACATCAGTCTTCTACATATCACTAACCAAGATCCTCTAGAACCTTTTTTTTGGACAATTTTTCTTTGAACATTTTTATTTCACATTTACTGCAAAATTAAAAAAAAATGAAATAAAATGAAAAAACGAAAAAATTTTCACATAAACTTGAAATTCGACTATCGTGCAGAATGGCTGAATGGCAGACTACTATTTAAAAATGAACTTCAATTAATAATAAAATTTTCACAAAGTTAATTGAATTAAATGTACTTACTGCAATACTCACAACGAAATATACGTTATATTCGTTATGTTATATCATTTTGATAATACTTAATGCAATGCTTATAATGATGTCTGCGATACCTATTCTAATTATATTATTCTATTATATTATTACTTATTCTAATTGTATGTGCGATACTTGGTATTAGCAATAATAAGTTTGCGCTTGTTGGATAGTTTAGTTAGCAACGTATCGAATGAAAGTCACCAGTGAGTTTGGAAAATCGACCAAATGATGGTTTTATATTTCTAAATACGAAGAACAAGTACCCTTTTCAAATTTCTTTTTCATATACATCTACTAAAAATGGTAGTTTTAAATTACATTCGTTTGTAGCTTGTAATAATACATTGTGCCTGCTTAGTATTACATTTGTAATCTTTTTATTATTTATAGTTCCTGTTGAAAAATAACTTCGGTTCTGTGTTATAGTATTAATAATTTGAAAGCCAAGGAATCAGACTTTAGTGTATGTCTCAATTTAGAAAAACGACATTGACATTTTTATTCATTTATTTCGTATCAAATAACTGTTATTTTTCATCTAATTATTGAATTTTAAAAAAATGACCATTCACACGCTCTCATTCTAATGCCAACCAACACACACACTCACTTAAAGCCAGCTAATACACAACCACATCGTAGAATTATAAAGTTATTTATAAAAAGCTTTCTTTCAACAGTCAAGTACATTCTACATATGTCTCTGAAATATTCAACTGATTGTAGATAAGTGTGGAAGATGGTATAGATCAGTTTATCATCATTCGTTCGTTCTGCCTTTGATTATTGCCAGAAAGAATATCACGAATCACATTTTGTCCTTTTGGTCATCTGTTAATAAACGAAACGAAGAAATAAAATCTATTTCGTTGATATCAATGATTCACTGAATGAATGGTAACGTTATTGGCGTAGTGTGATGACAATTGTTTTGTTGAGTAGGTTTGAACTTTGTAATGTAGTTCAATTTTTTGGAAGGAATTACAAAAACCCTATCACGTGTCTTTAGTTTGGATGGCTACATGATATAAAATTTTATAGCAAGCAAGAGATTATTTCTTTGTTTCGCGTTCATTACACAATAATCGCATACTAAGGGTTAAACAAATTCGGCCAAATAGCACTAAATCACCAGTTTCTTTGTGCTAGCTAGCTCGCCCGCTCACAAGCATAAATTATGTTAATGCGGACAGTGTTAGTCTGGTAGGCCAACAAATATGTAGGCCAGAATCAAACACACGTGTGCTTTGTTGTAGCGAATGATTTACGTATATGGACAAATGATGTGCAGTTGTTGATGCTAATTTAAATAGATGAAACTGTAGTTTAAATGCATGTATATATACATGTATGCATATGTTTGTGTTTGTGTGTGTACTAAAGAGTATATAAGTCACAAGAAATGCACATTAGAGCTCTATAAGCGTAAAAAATAGTTAAAATATCGTGTGTAAATGAGTATTGTATAATGAATTAATAAATAAAATTCAAGACAATCTAATGTACTACCTGATTGTTATTTTTGTGTTTATTTTGGATGTCTGGACGATTCGTACAGTAAGACTCAATGCTTCAGACTCCGACTGTGCCAACAAACTGGCGGGTTAAAGCGATGGGATTCCTTAATAAATTCGACAAATGTTTATAAAAATCATTTCCTGCTTTTGAAATCATTTATTGCTTCCTATGTGCAATCCATGCGTGTTGAATTAAAAAAATAACTGTAAGACCTAAGCAAATTGTTGCGTACATTCATTCATTATTCATTTAATCATTGTCAGTGAACCGAATATTTAGAGATCAGATCAGTGAACACTGTGCTCATCCTCTCCCAAATTGTAATTTTTGCACCATACAACTTTACTGTAATTGTAATATCATGGTACAACACAACACCATAATTTGATGTTCTACCCATCCATTTAAAACTGTGCTAATCGATCACAAACTCGTCGAATTCAACTTGTTGATTACCACATTCTGACAGCAAATTTGGATAAACATAACATCGAATATACAATAGACACAATCAACGTTTCAATTCTAATTATCTACAATTTTCCTTTTTTTCAAAACTCTGCTTTAAAAGTTTTTATTCCCAGACAATCCCTTACCGACAATAGCGAAGCACAATGGATTAAGGAGTTGCCACGTTATGTAGAAGACAACACCACCGCTGAGGAAGTACTTCAGGGATCAACACCCTGGACCAATGAGGTCTTGAGGAAAGCATACTTCAAAAACCTAAGAGCGAGTTTCAAACGAGGAACCAAAACAGAAAGAGGGCAACGAAAAATGGCTCACAAAGAAGCCCTGCAAACAGTAGCATTATTCATGGAACTACCAGAGTACCCTGACTTTCCAAGCGCGAGAAAGGAACATCTCAAAAGACGTTCACTCATGCAAAACATCCCCGGAGTCGAGATTTGAGATTGACATTTTTTATATAATTATTTTTTGTATAACTATGTTTTTTTTATATGTTAGACGCTTTATATGTTTCTTATGAATTTAATGTTTTATTTCTAAACGTTATTATGTTTTCATATGACTAATGCAGTTCTTGGTTGAAATTTTTTTTCTCTATCATTTCAATTTGAAAACAAATTTATTTTTTAAAAGTGAGGGATATCATGTAAATCAACAAATAAGAGAAAGACGCACATGACAGTAATTCATCACGACTGGAATGCAAATAATTTTCCATGAAAGTACAGACTAGGTTGTTAGACCAGTGTACAACCATTAAGACGCCAATGCGCAAGCACTCTCTCTTATATAAGGAAATGCAGCATTATGCATAGGACAGATAGGACACAACATACAAGATACAAAGATAAGAAAAAGGAGGTAGAGGTAAAGGAAGAAAGAAAGCAGGTCTATTGGTTTGGTATGTATCATTTTTATTCGTCTATATAATCTCGTTTTTGAAAAAGAACAATCAAACTAAAATGGATTAGTTTGAGTTTGATTCACTAAAATATAATATTTCTTATCATCGTAACTAACCTAATAACTAAGTCGTATGAGTCACCACTTAATTCGTCACCACTTAGTATTTATTTGGCTCACAGATCGAATTGTTCAGGGAACTACCAAAGTAGCCTGACTTGCCAAGCGCGAGAAAGGAGCGCCAAATGAGACGTTCATTCATACACAATGTAATTAAAGTAGTAGGATTTTGGGATTAACATTGTAAAATCTGATGATAACAGTAACCAAGCTCGGTTAAACTTTGGCCCGGTTATAGTTGATGAACATCAACTGTAGGTCTGTGTAAAGGATTTGTTATTGCTAGGGCAGCGATGTGTGAACTAACGACGCGTTTTCTGCCCGGGTTTGATATGGGTCAGGGTACAAGAGAACTACCAGGTAAAGAAAAACTCGTGGCAAAAGCCAGGAAGGTGGTCAAGCAATTTCTGGTTTTTGACAGCCTTTCACCCATGGAGTCCAGCGTAGAAAAGTGTTTGGATCCGAAAATTACAGTGTCACATGGTAAACAATCAACGGTGGCAGTTTCATCTGATACGAAGAATGCTGAAAGCCAGACGGAGAACTTAGAAGAAGTCCCGTCTAAACCTTCCGCGATCAACCACACGGAAAACTGAATTTCTGAAATTCCCAGGAATCCGGTACGATGATGCACGATAAGGCGTGTACCGAAGTTGCTGACGGATTATTTCTGGTAGAGCACGGGATGAAGACGAAAGCATAGGTAATACTCAGCACAGGTAAGTCGCCAATTAAACAGTCACCTAATATTATTTTATATAGGACGAACAGTTTGGAGTTATTTAAAGTTGGGCTGAGCGAGAAAATTTCTCTGAGAACAATGTTATTCGTTCAGTAACATCGTAGCATGGTGAAGAGCGGACAATATAACAATATGGTTGTTCATCTGACGCGATTGTTTTTTGAGTACCCTGAAATAAGAGACATAGTGCACAAATGCAATCTGAGGTTTGAAACTTTCCTCAAAAAACACGTCAGAAAAAGTTTCACAATTATTGTGAAATCCATTTTTGCCAATCCACATCATAAAAAAATAAGAATCATGATCAGCAAACGAGTGGCATGGCCAAAATTGCAGAAATGGACTTGTAATTAAAAAAAAGTTGGCTTCAGCCCCTAGGCCCTCTATTGGCCACGTCATTGGTTGGAGATGATGGTCCATCTCAAATCGCAAATTCTGAGATGTGTATGCGTCAATTTTTCATCACCCACTAATGTTCAGGTGGGTTGTTGCACGGACACGTTTCACGTTGTTGCGAGACATGTAACACGTTGTTGCGAGACATGTTACACTTTGTTGTGAAACATATTGCACGTTGTTGCGAGACATGTTACATGTTGTTCATGGCAAGAACATATAAAAAAAACTTGATCCAACAAGATTCCAACAAATATTCACAATATCTGAAGTGTTGTTAATGCTGTTTTCAAAGCTAGCAGGTGAAACTGAGATGTTACTACATTGTAAGGAACCTCACAAATGATTTTCACATTAATTTTATAATGTGGCGTAGCTTTTTATGTAAAGCTATTAAAAATGGACATTTTTTGAACTGATATAAAATTTTATATTTGATTGAATTCTTTGCAAAGATGTTCAAATCTATCTGGCGGGAACTGAAAAAAACGCCAAAACTCTATCTAGCCTAACTTGAAATTAAAACTTGAGATCTAAATTTGGCGGAGATGGATCAATAAACCAAAAAAAAGAACATTATATATCGTTGTTCTTAATTCACTTTGCATCTTGAACTTGAACTTACACATAATTCACAAATATTAATTTATCTATTGTTAAAAATATTAATAGGCTGAAAACTTTTTGAAGACGAATCGATTAAAAATTAATGTAGCAACTAACCGTCAAATAATTCCTTCGTACTCATGGCGGGTACCCTACGGCCACTACCTTCAATTTATCTTTTTCTTCCTCTTCATCGCCGAAGCCAGTTTGAAAAAATTTGAAGATTTTAAATCACCAATAGAGAAAACAAATTAAGAATTAATATTAACATATAACATCGCCTAAAACAATTGATATAAATCCTAAAACACCAAATTAAAACCACATATATACCTTATCTTACGAACATAACAAAGAAAAATTTAAAACGTACCATGTTACGCACACAGAGTTCAGAAGCAGTCACGGACGGCCAGCGAGAGAGTAAAATGTGTAGTAATGTATCTAGCCACTATTTAAATAAGGCCAACAGTTGAAAATACAGCAAGCTGCATGTGTTTAACCTACAATAGGCAAACCAATGTTCCTCCTACTGCTACATACATAAGTCATACATACATACACATACACATTCAATCATATATACAGCATGTATGCATACATATATATAATGGTTGAGTATTCGTTTGTATGTGTCTTTGTCCGTGTGTGTGTGTGTGTGTGT